AAATTTGCATCCCTTCAAAGTAAGTCACCAATTTCTATTGTTAATTCTTATCTGTCAATCAAAGATATGTTGTTTATTGTGACTTAAGTGTGGTTAAAGCACCTACTTACGTACGCCTGTTACTGCCGATGGAGAATAGGCGACCGACCAACATTCTCCAACCCACTCAGTCCTGGGCATTCCTTTCTAGTTTCATCCAATTGTTGTCCATTCTTCTCATGTCTATCTCTATTTCTCGGCGTAATGTCTCCTTTGGTCTCCCTCTTCTCCTTTGGCCCTGAGGATTCCAAGTGAGGGCTTGCCCTGTGGCGCAGTTGGGTGCTTTCTTCAATATGTATCCTATCCACTCCCAGCGCTTCCTGATTTCTCCCTCCGTTGGGATCTGATTTGTCCTCTCTCACAGGAGGTTGTTGCTGATAGTGTCCGGCCAACGAATCCGAAGTCTTTTGCATAGATAACTGTTAATGAACACTTGTATCTTCTGGATGATGGCTTTCGTAGTTCTCCAAGTTTCCCCACAGAACTAACTTTGATGTTGGTTGACTCCGCCTGGAGCCCCTCTGAGGCTACTGTCGGTCTCACGCTCAGATAAAGGGGGAGGGTTTGGCATGGAGTTAGCAACGCCATCCCGTAGAAAACTAACTCGCTAAAAAAATAATCCAAACCATTTAAACTCTGCCCTGGGAGTTAGAAGGCCTTCGTTTAAAGGAGTTATGACGTCTCATAGTGAAAGCCGAGTTCCTTCGGAAGTCACTAGGCTGACGCCCCCTTCTAACAACCAGAGTAACCATTAATGTAGGTATATGGAATGCTCGTACAATGTGGGAGACTGGGACAGTCATCCGAATTGCTGCAGAAATGAAAAGATACAACTTGGAGGTGTAGTTAAAGTACTTGATTTTTAATCATTCCATCATAGTTTTAAACTCTCCACTTCTCTTACTTTGATTTTACCAATCAAAATACTACTACTAGTTTTCGCACCTAAAATGTAGCTCAAAATTTAGCACTGCTCTATTCTTCTCCCTAATACTTCCTGACCACGATTACTGTTTTCGTCTCTTCCCAAATCAGAACGAGAACTAAAAGCGACCAATATGTACTCGAATAATCTAAATAACAAAAATACTATTAGGAAGGAAACAAAAGTAGATAATTCACTGATAAGTCAAGTCAGTTCTTTACACACATTAGGTAGGTGGTTAAATGCTAGCTTAATTCATTGTTGAGTTATTATTGTTGATTGGTCGACCATTTCAAATTATGCGTAAATAATTACCATGGTTGCTGAATAAATCAGTTTTCTTTTGCAGTCTTGTCCTTTTCTTTGGGTCAGCATAAGAGTCTCGTCATAATAAACAGTCGTACCAGTTGTAGTAATCAGTATTTATCTTAAATCACGACACTGACATATCAATTTAGTTTCAAGTCATTACAGATACAGTAGTAAAAGCATTACATTTTATATAGAACTTACAAAGGAATCTTCTTGATTCGTCCCAACAACACTGACTGGTTGAGTGCATGGATCAATTAACAACGTGTGATAATCTGAATCTGACTAAAATATTCAGGATTATGTATTTATTTAAACACATAAACATTGGTACATGGAGGCACCAAACAGATATGCGTCACATAAGTCGAATGATTTATGTGAGGCCTGCGATACTGCTGGGGTGCCAAAATCGAAGATGGTTTTCTTAGAGAGCCACACTCCGAGCCTTTAACCTGAAGGTCTAATCCACAAGGCAGTGGAGCAACGTAAGGAGATGCTTCCCATGGTAGCCGGTGACCAATAATTGGTTCATACGCCATTTGTTTCCTCAAGATCCTGGATCCCATGTGCACAGTTGGTTTGAAATCAGGGTTTTCCAACTCCTCTAGGTGGACTCTCTGTGTCCACTAACCCGATTCAAGTGCCGGACATTCGCTTTTCGTCCTTTCAATTTCGTAAACAACATCCCTCCTGCTAGAAGGTAATGAGTAGAACTTCCCTGGCAGTAGCTGTATACGCATTTCTATGTAAGAGCATTTCGAGATGGATAGGGGACTCTCTGCACTCTCGGCCGTATCAGGGCATTTGGGAGCTATCGCGCTAACAAATATACACGTCTAATTTATTAATTGTTTAGTTATACCATTTACTGGTTTTCGTTACTATTGTTGATGCATTTGTCCTCCATCTCCTATTTTTTTTTAATTCCTCTAGAAACTAGAAAGTCAAATCTCCACTATTCGAACTAGTTTATATATGTTTATTCAATTAGGATTTATACGACTATCTGATTCACACGATAGTAATAGCCATGTAAATTTTACAAGTGAAAATTTAGAAATCTATGAAGTTTGTGACGAGACAGATACTACTAATTCAAATGAGAAATTAAGTAATTCAAACAGTATAAATTATTCAAATGATCCTGAGAAAATTGATTCAAACACTATTGAAGCAACAAATAATTGGATGTTTACATCACAAGATCATTCTGATTCACTTGTAGCTAGTGTTAGAGAACGCAAAGAAAAGGAATTACAAGTAAGTACTAACAATACTCATATTAATTTGTACATTCCTATTATATTCCATATTGGTTCATTAGTTTACATAATTAAGTGACACTTGTTTGAAAGGTATCAATACACTCAATAGAACATTATTAGTACCATTAACTGCAATATTGAAAAAGTTTAATTTGTTTTTAAGACATATTCATGTACTTTTAATAAAACATCGTTGCGTTACTGACTCACCTTTCAAAGGGTAGTGTCCTTAATAAATATCCTGTACACAGAACACACTAAGCTGTGCAATCATCCACCTTCTTCCCTTTAAATCGACCACAACAACATTGTTAGACAGAATAGCTGAACTTTGTTATCCCTTTTTAATTGCACCATTTAATGATACCGTAAAGTAAGGCTATTGGAAATGCATGACGATGACATTAGCCTGTTATCTCAACGTCGTCAAACTGCTCGATAATATAAAGATCAATGAAATTAAACCTCACCAATTAGCGACAACTCTTCAGAAGTGTTTTTTTTAACCTTCAAATTTCGAAGCTACTTTTGCATGCTTTAAATTACTCGTGCTCGTTTCCACTCTTGAAATTCAACCATTTAGAAATGATTGAATATGATCTCCGGTGGCATATAATAATCTTCAAATAACGAAATTCAATAACAAGCTATTCTGACTTATAGTTGAAGCGTCACATTTATCAGGCTGTAAAATACCAATAATAGAGTGTTTTGCTGTGTGCATTTGCTTTTTTACTTATAATATCGTCCCTACGAATCGTTGCTTTTATTTGACAGTACCAAAATCAAGCGGTTTATTTAGAGAAGCTGAAGGTTATCTTTCGATAAGTTTAAGCGTCGCTTTCAGTGCCTTAACCTATATCCTGTATGAGTTCTGCTACTGACTGATTGCTGACGGCTAGGACACTATTTTCAGTTAATGATGCTCATTCTATTTTAGTTACTACTGAAACAGAACTTATACGCGTCGATGCAAAAAAGGTGGATATCGATAACAGATGAATATTTATTTATAAAATGTACCGTACTTTAGTTCATGTGTAACAACTTTAAGTTTACGCATGTTATTGCATTGCTTCTGACTGATTGATGGTACATTAAACTATATATAGCTAAATTTTTGTTTCGATTTCATACTCTTATTTAGGTATTTTGGTCTTATATCACTGCTATGTTAACCAACCTTGGAAGTTCGTCGTTAGATCGAATCCATTCAATGCTTAAAATGTTCGCACTCGGTTCTACATCCAGTTTAGGATTTAATAGAGATGAACTACGCCGATTTCTAGATAAGAAAATTAGAGAAGGCCAACTAAGTTATGATGGTGAAATGTATAAATTAACAATCCCTGATGTGTAAATACTTTAAGCGTATTGTACAAATAAATATCTTAAAATCTTTTTAATTTGAAATTACCGTATATTTCTTCATTGTCGTTTAATAACGAAAGCATAAACTATCTAGGTGTTAAATAAGGTAGCAAATCGCCCTGTATTTTTCTATGCCTGTGAAACATAGTCTATGGAAGGAGACACGCGTAAGCTGCAGATTTCCAATTGTCTTCAGAGCATTTCCCGCGTATCGCGAGTAGGCGTGAAGATGACTAATAAATTGTCCCGCTTCTTTGCTGTTTTCATACAGACGAAATGTATCTAGGTCATTTATTGTGTGTTGTAATTGACAACTGTTAAATACGCAACAGGTATTTAGGTTTTCGTTCATAACCGTCCTATCTACCTTTCCGTTTGAAAAAGCAATTATCTGTGATTGCAATCGACCAAGGGATGGCCATGTTGTGAACAAAAATTGTCACACTTGACAAGACCAAATGAACTTCTTTGATCTAATTATCTTATTTTAGGACACTATAGAAACCTTGCAAAAATGCAATTCAAAAAGAGGGGTTTCAACATATTTTGTTAATTATAGATCTACTGATATATTGTCTGAATTCAGTACTGATAGATTGAGTCGATCAGAAATCGACTGAATAATAAGTGAATATAATTGGCCAAAAAGCAGATTTCATTTTTAAGGGATGATACGCAAATATACGAATGAGTACATATACGGTTGATTTGGTTTAATCAATAAAACTTCTCACTTTGTTCTTTCATTCACGTAGCCGATTGGGCTCGTGTATAGCAAGATCGCATATCAATATCAGCTCCCTGTAAGTCACAAATTTATTTAAGAAAAACCAGTTGTTACCAAGTTATTTGGAATTTCCATCTCACTCTAGATCTATGCACAAGAGTATCTCAAATAATTAAGTATCACGGTGACTGGTAAGCCTCAGTGAAGTCGAGAGCGTTTGCTGTGAAATTCACGAGTGGCTATTAATATTTTTTTTTTTTCTAACATCTACTGACAGTAACTAAGGATCTCTTCAACAAATAGGTATGACGTACGCGACTGGCGAAACTTCTGAAAAAAAAATCGACTGAAGCACTTTACTTGTTAATGAATTTATTTTTGAGAAATAATCAATGTGACGTAGAAATAGCAGGATATAACGAAACTACTGCTGAAAATCGTACAAAAGATGATGAAACAGTTCTGGGTTTGACAGACGATAGTACGATGAAATTATTTCCTACAGAGATCGAATCGTTTAGCGACATCGCTCCAATTTATAATATCCCAAATTGCCTTTACATAGTCTGGACGTACATTTTTGTACTGAAGATAATATGCATGCTCCCAAACGTCGATTCCAAGTAAAGGCTTTAAACCTATAAATTTAAATAAAATTTAATAGATATATTAAGCTCAAGATGGAGGTATTAATAAACATTTTTAGTATTTGTCAAAAATTTCTACATAAATGAGTTTAAGATCACTTTTACTTTATTATTACCTGTGATATATCGATGGCGCTAAAATGTTAGGTTTACATTATAGTATCTGCCATTATTCGTAGGATTCTGTAGTGCTACATTGTAAGGGCCTTATTTATTTATTTAAACACATACACCTTGACACAACGGGGCACCAAATACATATGCGTCACACTTTATTCGATTTATGTGAGGGCTGGGATACTCTCCAAGCGCCCATACCGAAGCATGTGGTTTCCTTAGGAGGTCACACCTCGAGCCTTTGACCTAATCCACGAAGCAGTGGAGCAACGTTAGAAGATGCAGGCTCATGGTAGTCGGTGACCATATATAGGTTCATACGCTATTCGTTTCCCCCAGGATCCGGGTGTCCATGTGTTCCGTTGGTTCGCAATTGGGGTTCTCCAACTCCTTTAACTGGGATTCTCCGTATCCACAAACCCGGCTAAAGCGCCGAACATTCACTTTTCGTCCTCTCATTTTCGTAAACAACACCCCCGCCACGAGAAGGCAGTGAGTAGGACTTCCATGTCAGTAGCTGTATACGCATGTCTATGTGAGAGCATTTCGAGAGGGATAGTGGACTCGGCCGTACCAGGGCATTTGAAGGCTATAAGAGTTAATCTTATCGTCATCGTCATTCTTGTAAGTTGCAATCATAGACAGCAATTAGTTCTTAAGTTCTGATACCATCCAACTGCTCATTATGAAATAGGTAAGGAGAACCTGGGAACTGAAAGTTAACAGCTGAGAGTACAGATCTTTATAGGTTAATTGGCTTCAAGTCATAGTTGTTTTGTGAATCCAATAAATACCAAATTTGGACAAACTGTAGTATAAGAAGTGAAGCTTTAACGCAAGTTTAAACCACAGCTTTGCAACTACGAGTTAGATAACAAAAAACTATATTCCTTACACTCCGAAGCTTATAAGTTAACCAAATAGTGTTATGCATATGTGAAAAAGTCGTCTTAAGATTTACCCGTAGTCCCTTCAAGAGGGTCTTGATTAGCGCATGTGGCAATTTGTAGACGCTTTGTGTTGGGATTATATCCAAGCCAACCCCAACCCGAACCCTGGATAGCAATTGTGGCAGCAGATAGCTTTGACTTGAAGTTATCAAACGATCCAAACTCATCATTAATAGCATTAGCCAAACTACCTGTAGGGACACCCCCACCCTTAGAACTAAGATTATGCCAAAAGATGCTGTGATTGATATGTCCACCACCATTAAAACGGAGTGCTGGCTAATAGAAAACATTTAAAAATATTGGAAAAGCAGTGAATTTTAACATAATTAACGGGGTTCACTACCAAATGAAATTGTTTAGAATCGTCATGCTTATCAACAAAAAGAAGCAGCTGACTAGTATCTCCAGTTAAAATTATAGCGCAAAGCTGAGTAAATGAACTTGCATTAGATTAATGATTTGATGCACATAATTTAGGACCAGAGGGAGTAAGTTTGGAGGTGCAAAACGATATATTTAATGAAGATATAAATCAATAAGCCAAACATATTAGCTACTAGTATATCATTCTATAGTTTACTATCAACTTACATCTTTATCAAGGCCAAACCACGTTTACAACTAGAATTTTTCCGACTAAAGTCCTTGTTCCTAACTTGAAAACCAACTTTCTACCGATTTCAGTACGGACGAATAATTGAAAAATATCAATACGACATTTACATTTCTTGGCCGTATAATGCATAGATAAAACTAAGTATTAGAAAGGAATCCAAAAATACTTTGGAAACTGCACTTTCACTAGGATAACTGAAAACATTAAAAAATGGCAGTTAATCTCAACTGCGACCTGTATGTTTGTCCCCAAACTTTATTAGCTATCTGTTACTTTAAGGAAATGAGTACCTAGAAGAATATTGTGGTCAAAACACTTCAATATTCGACTGACTGTTGATAAACTAAGTGTAGAAGCAACATACTGAAAGTGACAAGTTTGTGTGACAAAGTTTTATGCCGAACGACTAAATGTATGACGAGCTGCTACCACCACAAGTCCTTGAAAAAATAAAAGTCTCTGAGACCTGAAAAGCAAAATCGCAATGAGATGCAAATCCAGTTAGAGGCTTTTATAGGTTATTATCACTCTACAAACGACTTAATTCTCTTGATGGAGATACTTCTCCGATGTGACATTGCAACTACTCATTACTCCATGCAGCTCATATGCCTTAGAGTATATGCTGGGTAAAGCATATCGAAGGTATAAATAGCTAGAAATTTAGCCTTGACAATGAAGAAAATTACAGGTGTGATTTTCCCACTCGGTGTAACATGAGGACTGAGTGATTTCTAAGCGAAAATAGTAAACCATCCATAAAAAATACGCCAGGAACGACACAGAATAAAAAGGAAGACGAAGAAAAAACAGGTGAAAAATAAATTTTTTAGTTTTGTTACTGCTTGCTTATAGCTTTTGAAGCAAGGCAACAATCGGCTTATACTTCTTTTAGTTTCTTACAATTACTACCCGATTGTCTCTACAACTAAGGACTTATTTTGAAACCTGTTTACCACATGAATAGGTAATATAGCACACAGAAAATATGTCAAAAAATTTCAAGTCCCTCCCCACAACGTCACCGTAATGCACTGAAGCTGTGAAACTAGGCAAGCAATTTACGACTTAATAGGGTTGATACAGTAGACCAAAAATAGCGGACAGTACTGTTCATATATTTCACTCAGATAAGGAACAATACATTAGCGAAATAGTTTAACTCTGATTGTGAGTTCTATTATTTTTCTACGGACGGACTTCCAAGCCTGAGTTCTTCAGTTTGCAAATGGTAAAAGAAGGGTGGAGTAGTCGGCACATAACCTAAAGAAATCCTCATATATTATAATTAATTAGTGTCAATTGCTTAGTGTCCCAGTTAACTATTATTAAATAGATAAGAAACGAAAACTTACAAAATCGCAAGATTTCATCATTTTGATTAAGGGAAAAGACTCACTTATATCTAATTTAATGGTAGTTTCCAGCGAAGTATTCAATGATTGCAACTTTCAAAGTCGATGACCTGTCATGTGTATGGATGTCTACATAATCGATTTAGTTTTTTAAAATGTGAAAGGGCCTACTATTTTAATACTATAGTATGAAGTAATATGTATTAACCATCTGAGGTGACACTCAAACGGAATACATATACTTAGGTATAAATACTCCTCCCAAGAATATATCATTTTACACCAATATTTAAACCACGATGACTGACCTGAAGAGATATCATTTTTGTAACGTCACTTTTCGAGAAAGCTTCAGCAAACTGTTCCTCAGCAATATTGAGATTATTAACATATGCTGCATGATGTTTTGAATGATGTAACTGCATAATTTCTCCTGATATTACAGGTTCCAAAGCATTAGGTTCGTATGGTAAAGGGGGCAATGTGTGTTTAGAGCGTAGTCCACAATTACGAATGATACTAGGTCTAAGGATGCGTGCAATGGCCATTGGAGCACGAAAAGTTATAACTCCTGTAGCGTCTTCAACTCCTCGCGCACTTCAATGCCCAAATTCAAACCTCAAATCCTGATTGTCGCAGATCGTTTGTACTCTGGGATCCGTGTCCGAGTAGAAATAGAGTACTTTGAGTTTTTGAGAAGCATGATTCCTGTTGTTTTTTTAAGAATCTAACGATGTTGTTCAATGTGTCCATTTTCTACATTAAACTCTCTAGGGATTGGAAAAATACCATAGTTAGTTCTACACTTAAATGTGAACAGAGACAGATTGCATCCAACTACTGATCTGTCAGTCTATATAGCATAGTAGTAATATAACTGGAATATATAATCCTGGCTAGGTAATTAGGTCATATATCACGGGTTTCGGAATAAGCATTCATGCTTAACCAGCTTACTTGTTGCGAGGGAAGATAGGAAAGCAGACCGAAATAACGATTTCTCTGTCAATGTTGTATGCATAGATTTTAGCAAAGCGTTTCTCCCTCAGTTTTTGTGCAGAAGTTTTTGAACTTTAGAATAACAGGTGCTGTACAAGAGTAGGTGAGGAACTTCCTCTGTGGCCGAGAACAGAGGATAACGGTATATCAAACGCCCTTTGAGTGTAAGCTAGTCAAAATGATATGCTCTAAGGCATCACCCTAAATCCTTTCCTTTCTCTTTCCCACGTCAATTAATGACCGCAACTGCTTAAGTAATTAATATTATTGTTTGCAGAAGATGTCAGAATCTGAAGAACGACAAGTGGTGACGCTGATCATTTTGATCTCCAAGTTGATCTGGGTGAAACAGTTAGGCGGTCTCAAGGTTGGAGCTAAGAAATTCATTCCAGAATTAGTGTGCAAATGCACATCGGACAAGGCAGTATTTATCAGTATGTAGTCAGTGGTACATCGCTTTCATGTGTGCTGGAACACAAAGAATTGGTTCGTCTTTTCTTTGGCATACTGAGCAATATCTGTAATACACGAGTGTTTCCAGTAAGGTTGATGTCATGACTGTATAGAAATTCATATTCCGAAAGATATCCAAGGGTGTTTATGATGTAACAAGTCATTGGAAAGCCGCCTATAAGTCGCCTATGTTCCATAGCCTTGAAATTCATCCATTTAAGCTGTAGCCCTAAAACCTCAGATTGAGTTCACAAGCTACTCTAGTAGCCATTAAACAGTTTTGAAATTAAATTTTAAGAAGAACCTCATCAGACATCCATCAGAACATCTTACAATTCCATGATTCTGACCATGAAAAAGATTGCACGAATGTTTTAGTTACCTCCGTGTTCTATCCCAAGGTGGGTGTGTAATCAAATGCGGTTTGATGCGGTATCATTCAGATTATCTATCAAGAGGAAAGGGGTCATGAGCCGTACGGCACATCACGAATACATTTATCCTAATCATTCCATCCCGCATAGATTACAAAGTTACAAACTAGATGAACCAACTAAAGTTTACTTTGTATCCTAAGTACTCTTTCGACTGACCTCTCCTAAACTCACTCCGTGTGGCTTGGTTTTTCAGATGACACTATATGATACAACGGTTTTTCCAGAGGACGTTATAAGTAAACACCGAAAACGGTTTTGATTCATTCCGTGGTTGGACTACCTAATATCTTGGAATAAACTCTAAAATTGAGTCTGCATTGTTGATTCTATAATGCACGTGTGGACGAATGTCTTGACCATACCATAGATTGGTTACCAAGTCCTTTGTTTTAATGAAGATTATAAGGTATATACAATAGCACGGTTTATGGTTGGTACTATGTACTTACTGATGTCAAGAATGGAAACGTTTATGATGGTTCGATCATAGATCCCATGCAAGTCTCCTTGAATAGTAGAGTTTTCAGAGGGACCTTGTTTCTTCTAAATGATCATGTAGCTGAATTCGACATTTTGGACCATAAAGAATAATAACATGAACAGTCAAAGCACCGGGCCTTGTAGAATACTGCTTAGTCTTATAAACCAATAGGACATAGAAGAGTAAAGTTCGATGTCCGCATCAAGTAGCTGAAAAACTACTTGACCTTTACCGCTATGTATAGTTAGAAAATTGACTAACAATTACAGATTGCACAATGATATCACATTTGTTTACATGCATGGCTTGCGTTTTTCCATTTCGGCGGTAATTTACTCCAAACAAAAGAACAATAGAATAGGTTGGCTGAATCTAAACCCACTAAGTCTCTCCAGTACACCAGGACTTTATTACATCCTGTTAACATGGACACATTTTTTTCGTGTTCCAGAACCTTAAGACCTCTTCGTATTTGAATGGTGTTCACGCTCCAAAATGCACAGGTTATTGTGGCAAAGTTTGTGATTGACGTTGGTGGATTTTTGTTAGGTCAGAATTTCTCAGATAGTGTATTTCCAACCTCATTAGGAGATCTACATGCCGTTTACGAGTTCTGTTCCAGTATATTCATCAAGAATATGTCTTTGCTATTCGCATACTTAACTAGAAGCGAGTGTTGCTCTTCATAGACATTGGTAAAGGAGTCCGATAAGTTTTTAGCATTATTATTCTGTCCTACTTGCATTTTGTGTGCTGTTGTTTAACTTGCTTATCTAACATTGTCTTGTAACAGGCTACAGGCCAACCAATTACTTCCCGAATGAGTGTTACATAGAGAAGACACGACCTCATAACGTGGGACTGAAGTTATACTTTCAATTTCTGGAAGCAGTAAGAAGTTTCAGTCGGAGCGTGAAAAGAAATAACAATAATTCTTGACCAAATTCAATCATCAAGTAATAATCGGCAAAGTAACGTAGACAGATTCAGGGCCGAATGCATGCACAGTCTATTTATTTCAAGGAGTCAGTTTTATATAATGAGGGGCGCCGAGTAGAGGGCAGTGAATTATCTATCGGATCAAGAACGCGTAAAACACATGCGAGCGGCCTAGAGTTCTGATTGACCCTGCTTTCCACCTAGCCCAGTCAGTTAAGTCCAGAACGCCAGTCTCAGCCTCTGCAATATGAATCGTTATGTTTCAAAAATATTGAGTTTATATGCCAATCAAACAGACCACAACGTAGCATAAAATAGAAAATAACATTTGTACAAAATCTAGTCAAATGTGGCTGTGAATGTGAGAGGCAGTGACTAATGAACAGGGCATAATTCAAGAATGGTAAAACGTATAATGACAGTTCATGGGTGAAAATAAGGTTTATAACAAGAGAAACATGAATATGAATAGTTTAGTTATTTAACAATTATACGATAGAAATATACGTTTAGTATTGGTCCACAAATGGACCCTAAAATTACCATTCATTATTCTTGTCGGGATTTAGCAGTTAGCTACGTCTACATGCAATTTTTATCCTTTCTTCATGAACTGGCAGTAAAGCCGGTACTTCAAGGACAGTGGAATCAAAATACATTACTAGATACATTTCTACTGACACAGTTTAGTTGAGCGCTTTGCCCCTGTGGGGTAGGTTGCGTAGAGACTTTTCTAAGTAAGGTCCTCAGTCTGCTAATATCAATTTTGAACAGACTAGGATTCATATCACATCTGAGAAGAATACCTGACATGAAATCTGTGCTTAAGGATATTGATACAGTATAATTATAGCACTACAATTTGCCTATCTCATAGCCCATCACTTATAGTCTCAATTGCTTAGAACATTTAGTTATATTTGCTTTCATTTGTACAGTACATACTATTTGCTAGCGAGGTAGCAACTAATCGAAAAGTTAAGTGTAGGTTATGTATTAGAGCGTGAGGAAATATAATTTACAGACAAAATGAACACTCCTGTAATTTATTTTCACAACAATAATCATCTAACATTGTCAATATAACTTTAATTATGAGTATTTGATCCAGTTTGTTAGTGTTGTTGGATGAACGCTTTTCGATTCACACCACTACTTGATTTCGTGTGAACCATTTTCATTGGGGTAAAGTGAACACAAGTTTTGGTACTACAACGTTATGTTCTAATACAAAATTTCTTGCAACCACCAACGTCTTTTCGTCACTTTTTCTTGGGCTATCATTATCGAAATATATGGGGAATAATGTTTTTCTGTCGTGTCCACCAAGTGTATATTTAATTAAGGGTGAAATTTCCTAATATTCGACTTTAACGAAGCAGAATATATGGAGAAGATGATTAGGTTACATATGCAGTACACCACATAACTTCGATTGGACTTAACGTCTGTCCTAACAACAAGCTTCAGAGCATCGCTAACCCGACTTCATACTGAAGTGAGCAAAATTTTTAGTTAAGCCTTTAAACTTGACAGTCATCGTACAGATAACAATGAAGACCTATTTTAAGGCTTTCAAAATTGTTGTTTTATATTTTACCCATGCAAAACTCTTTACAGGCCATTGGACATTTAGTCACAGTGCTATGGTGATAGATACTGTGTGTCTTTAAAAGACATTCAACAATGCGTTATGTAAAACACTCGAAATCTCATTCTTCCGGCTTCCAGATTTTACTTTCAGACTTCTTCAGTGTTACACGTGTGTTATTACCAACTTTTATCGATCTCTTTGATTTAAATTATTGATGTTTCCAATGCGCATATGAGTCGTAAGCCCAGTTTTTCTTATTGTTATTATCTTTTCCAGACCTCTACACGCGCTACCTCTACGATGATCGTACTTCCAGGCAAGACAAAAACTGTTAGACACATACACTTGATTGTGAGATTAAATATCGGGACAGTTCCAACAATTTGATTGAATTAATTCAATCAAATTATACACAATGAACATTGGTAACTTGTAGTTTATAGAAGTTCGATTTTTACTTGTTTACAATATGCCGGAATGCCTATCATTTTCAGCGCTTACATTTGATGGCTTAGGGAGAAACTAGTACACCAAAGTTCCTCAATGCATACACTAAACAGAATCGAAATAATATGAAATTGAATGCACAATAACAGAGCGGAATCGTAGAATTATCTAATGAATAAAAGCACTGGACGTATTTTTATCTGAACTGAACTCATACTAACAATGAAAGTAGAGTATTAGCTTATTTCTATGTTCTTTCGAAAGTAGAATCATCAACAATTCTACTCGAACATAAATACATACATATTAAATATACATCACTGTATATTCATTTCGGAATGAAACATTTAGCCAAAAATGTGACTATCAAACGGCCTATTCCAATCTCATTAGGCAACGTAAATTCAAGATGCACGATTGATTTGAATGCTTCGTATATGAATCCATATAATATACATTTCGTTTGATTGACTATCTGTTTATCTGCTAATATAGATCAGACCAGTCTAATTCAGTATCACATTTACTGCAATATAATACAAATTACTGAATAGTCAACTACCAGTGTTATTTTTATATTTCTATACAATTGCTAGTAGTGCTACGTGCCAGCGTCAACATTAATCTAATCCTATTATGAAGAAATCTAATTCTAGTGTTTATTTAGAGTGACCATGATCTCAGTCCAGGTTGATTCATTCACTCCTCTTACAACCTAATTATCACGATTGTATATGCTAGTTGATTCAATTACTTAAATACATACTCAGGAACTTTTGTATTCTAGTTCCTTGATCATAGAGTATAAAGATAACTATTAGAAAATTCAGTCTAGTCTGTATTGTAATGGAGTCTGTCCAAACTGTTCAGAGTCCCACTTATTTGATGAATCTCAACTGTTTATAGAGCAATATGTTAACAAAATATAATTAACGGATGAATAGATAACCAGATAATCAACCAAATGAAGGCAATTTTATAAGGATTCACAAGTATAACATCTAAATTAATCATATAACTGAATACGTTTTATCCATGTAAGATCAGATTAACCCATTTGATAATCACATTCCCGGTCAAACGTTGTATTTCAAGTTGAATAAATAGTTGTATAGATTTAATACCAATTTCTTAAACATGATAATTCCTCTGAACCTAAATGTTTCCATAACGTTCGTGGTATTGAATATATGTCACAGGTATTTGTAGTTTGACAACACGTTAACCATTAACACCTTCTACTTTGAATCGTACCCACCAGCTAAAATAAAAAAACAGAAGCCAGGAGGTTCAAAATTAAATTTAACAGGCTACCAATATATCGAGGATCGACTGTTTTAATCTGGCTAGCGATTTCAAGGGATATTGAACACGGTGTTCTCACTCGTGATCTGTTGCGGATGCATGGCCGAGCGCCTTCAGCTAGACAGGTCCATTAAAACTAATGTGATCAGTATCCAACCTCAAAGAATTACAGAGCGAACTAATCGTAGAACAACTTAAGATATTTTAAGTGGTACCACGAACGTTATGGAAACATTTAGGTTCAGAGGAATTATCATGTTTAAGAAATTGGTATTAAATCTATACAACTATTTATTCAACTTGAAATACAACGTTTGACCGGGAATGTGATTATCAAATGGGTTAATTTGATCTTACATGGATAAAACGTATTCAGTTATATGATTAATTTAGATGTTGTAGTCTGGTAGTCTGGTGCAGAGAGCTGTCGTTTGCTGGAGTGTTCTGGCGAAACGGCATTGGCTGTTGCTAGTGCTGTCAACGGAGAAGAGCGGTGGGACGTGTGGCTGCTGAGTGGACACCGGATGTAGATGCCTCAGCAGGCCGGTGGAGCACGAGTATCAAATGTCCCATGTGCCGGGTGGATGTCGGATATTGTTATCTCGGCGGATCCACGGAGCTATGGAGGCCAGCGTGCCGCAGATTCGACATTTTGACGGAGGGTGTAGCACAGACTGCAGAAAAGAAGAATGTGACACGGCGGGCATAAACCACCGCAAGAACGAATGCTTTAACGAGGGGACGAGTGTGGTGTGGGTTACTTATATTCACATAAGTAGTATATAACAGTGGTCAGGTATAGAATGTATTTCAGTAGAAGGTCGATGAGGAAAGAACTAAGACGAAACTCAATTGGTATAAAAACGCATGAACAATGAAATTTCAGTTAATGGATTGATGTTTGCAACTAGAACAGTCAAGTTTGATATGATGGATTGATATTTTTGCAAATTAACGATTTACTAACATAGTTCTCAGATTTTATTGAGATGTTCTGTAATTATGTGCTCAAATACATCCAAATGTCCCATATTGATGTTCTTGTTCACTACAATACTACTTTCGAATGAACATAGAAATTAGCTAATAATCTACTTTCATTGTTGCTATGAGTTCAGTTCAGATAAAAAAATGTGTAACTTATGAATCGTTTCAATATTGCTTTGGTTTTTTGTTAACTATCTACTTATCGATTGAACGTATTTACAAAGTTTTCTCTATTCTTTCTATTTTGTAGAAAAAAAAATTTTTTTTATTTTTTATTTTTTATTTTTTTACATTCAATAATCATTACATAATATCTTTTTATTTATAATCAATCAATGAATCAATCAATAAATCAATAAATTGATCAATCAATCAATCCATCTATCTGATCATGAAAGAAATTAATACAAATTATGAAAATTATTTAAATTTATTACAAGAACGTAATAAACAACGTAAATTATTAAATCAAAAAACTGAAGAGGATTTATTAAAAGAACGTTTAGAAAAAGGTTTTCAATTATATTTTAATGCAGCAACAAAATATTTAAAAAATCATTCATATCCATATCATTATACTACTCATAATACTACTCATAATACTACTTATAAATTAAAAAATCAACGTCATCAAAATAGTTCAAATATAATAACCAAAAAAATTCCACGTAAAACATGGGGTGATATTTATATACCATTTTATGAAAATAAAATAATTCATAAAAAGAATCAATCTTTATTTGAATTATATCATCCAAAATCTGTATTATGTAAGAATTTACTTCGAATTAAGTCATCATCAGCATCATCATCACCGTCACCGTCATCACCCTCACCGTCATCACCGTCACCGTCATCATCGTCACCGTCATCATCATCATCCTCAGGAGGAGGAGCAACAGCAACAGTAGTAGCTTCAACTTGTAAACAATATAATGAATCTATAACATCATTCAATCATTTTACAATAAAGAATAATTTGATCTATAATGAACCAATGATAAATCCATACAATATAGAATCCTTTGAAAGAATTACATTTCATTTAGATATATTTAATAATTGGAATAATAAATTATGGATTGGTTTAAATGGTATTGAAGTATTATTAATCAATAATACAACATCAATAAAAATTTATCCAAAATTAATCAATATTTATAAAATCAATCCAAAAGATAATGTCAATACTGATACACATAGTAATAATCATTCAATATCAAATGATTATCTATTTCAATCAATATTTAATCAAACAAATATAAAAAAGATATGGAGTATACATATTGATTATTTACCATTACGTATTGAATTTATTTATTTATTAAAACAATTTCAATGGAATGATCAGATTAGATTCAATATATGGAATTATAATTATTCAAATTTCTATCATATTAGTGGTGTAAAACAATGTCTACTAAATGTAATTTATGGGAAGAAGATCTTCACACTGTATAATGATATTCTACCAAATATTAATAATAATAATAATAATAATAATAATGATAATAGTTCTATTCATGAAACATCATTAACAAGTATTCTATTCAATCTAAATGATATTCTATCTTTTAATGAATATCATTCTATGACAAATACATTAATACATTATATGGATCATTGGAATCAATCCAATTTAGATTATACAAATAGATTATTTCAAGAGAATATTCATCAAATGAAATACAATGTATGGTTCCCTAATGATACTACTACTACTACTACTACTACTACTAATAATAATAATAATAATTATACTACTGAAATGAATTTATTATCTAATGTCAATGAAGATTTATTATTAAATACTTCATTGAATCAAATTAATATGAAACATATTATGGATAGATATTCATCTATAGATCAATTAAATAATGATAAACAATTAAAAGATACTTTTAATCAATATGATGAGGATCAAATCTTTATGAATAAAAACAATGAAGATGACGGTGACGACGACGACGACGACAATAACAACGTGAACATTAAAGACAATGATGATGATGACGGTAAGAATAACGACGTCAAGAACAACAACAAGAAGAAGATGATGATGATGATGAAGACGACGGCAATAACAACGGCAGCAGCAACAACAACAACAACGACGACGACGACAGTGACAATCACAACACCAATTCATCTTATTACATTTATAATAAAATATATAAACAACAATCTATAATCCATTCTACTAGAACATATTATCCATTAAGAATAACTGATAAAACAATATCTATTCCTGAATTACCATTTGGTTATAAATTATTATTTGATATTATATCTACATGGGGTAATCCTAATTATGTTGGTTTAAATGGTATTGAAATATTTTTATCAAATGGTATGAATATTACAAAATTATGTCATATTACAACAGATCATTCATTAGATAGGAATAGACTATCCAACGATGATGATGATGATGATGATCATACTCATCCTCATCATGATCATCTTCATCATGATTATCCTCATCATGATCATCTTCAACATGATCATCCTCATCATGATCATCTTCATTATGATCATTATCGTAAAGATTCAAGTATGATCAATCATTTAATTGATGGTATTAATTGGACTAATGATGATCAACATATATGGTTAATACCATTTAAATTAGGTAAACGACATTTAATTGAAATTACATTACCTAAATGGATTCAATCATCCATTGGTTTAATACGTATATGGAATTATAATAAATCATGGATAGATTCATATTGTGGTGTAAAAGATTTAATTATTTATTTAGATAATCAACCAATATTTTATAATGAAATACATAAAGCAACTGGTTTTATTCATGGAAATTTAGAAGATTTTTGTGAAACTATTTTATTTTCTAATAATAATGATATATTAAATTTAATTGGACAAAATGATACTTTATACAAATTAACACAACAACAACAACAACAACAACAACAAGATACTACTAATAATATTGATGATGATGATGATCTTGTTGCCATGGTTACAAATGAGAATATATTAGATGTAATTGGACAAAATGATACTTTATCCAAAATAAGACAACAACAACAACAAGATACTACTAATAATATTGATGATGATGATGATCTTGTTGCCATGGTTACAAATGAGAATATCTTAAATGTAATTGGACAAAATGATACTTTATCCAAATTAAGACAACAACAACAACAACAAAGATACTACTAATAATATTGATGATGATGATCTTGTTGCCATGGTTACAAATGAGAATATCTTAAATCTAATTGGACAAAATGATACTTTATACAAATTAAGACAACAACAACAAGATACTACTAACAATATTACTAGTAATAGTGATGATTTCTATAATGTTATCATGGATACAAATGAAGAAGAGTTGAATGGAACATATATTCCAGATAGATCTATATTAAATATAAATAATATAAATATAAATAAAAATATGAATGATACATTATCTAAAGAATTATCAGAATTAAGTATGTTAGAGAGTGATTCACAAATCAATAGAACATATTATTATTGAAATAACTTTACTTGAACCATGATATGATGAATCTAAATATATTGGATGAACAGGAATTGATTTTTTAGATGAAAATGATCATCCAATAAACATTAAATCTATATACTTAAATGATCATGATGAAGGTGATGATGGTACTGCTACCGATGCTGCTGCTGCTGCTGCTGATGATGATGATGATGATGATGATGATGATGATGATGATGATGATGATGATAAAGTTTAACTGACTGCTGGTAGGAATATCAAACATTTTATTAAATACAAAAAAATCTTACTACTGATCCTAATAAGATGTGCTATACAATATATCATAGTAACTTATCACCCCCCTACAATTAAATTTTATCCTTATATCAATAATTCATAAATCAATACTTTACGTATATGGAATTATAATCATTATGAAATTGATTATAATTATAATTGTAAATGAATCAATATTAAATTTATACAATTCAATTCATCAACTGATTCTATCTTAAATGATGAAAGAATAATTTTATGAAAACAAGCATCAGGACATATAGAATATTCATAGGAACAGATTTATCTGCAGACTATACTGACTTTTATAGCTTATTAATCAGGAATAGGATTTATGTATATATATATATATACTCTAATTGGTATCATTTATTCTATATTGGTTTAAATGGTATACAATTCTTATCTTATAATGGTCATCATATTCTACCAATACATCAAAATCAATTATATACCTATTCAACTACAATAAATCATTATAATAATCTTTATATAAATGAACCATTATATGATCATTACATATATAGTTAACTTCAATTATACCGAATAGAATCCATAAAATATTGATTATATTTCATTAACCAATTTGTATTATTGATATACGTATATGGAATTATATAAGAATATCAGAATATGATATCAAAGAATTATCTATATTAGTTGATAATCAATTAATATTTTATGGTAAATTACCAAAATATCAAAATGATCCCGATTTTAAACAAGATCCTGATCAGAAATTTGATCAAAGATCCACATATTCTATTGTATCATTTGATAATGATAGTTTAATTGAATTAGATAAAAATTCAAATTGTATATTAAATAGGAATTAATCATTAAAGTATAATAATAATAATGATATAATTCATAAACAATTGAATGATTCAATATATACATCAAGATTAAAGAAAATGTATCAAACACTTAAACCTTCAACATATGCTACTAATAAATCTCAAATTAAGGATCAAATATAAAATGGTTTATCTTCTTTTACTTTTCGTTTGAATAGAAGCAAAATCAAAATAAATAAATAAATAAATAAATAAATAAAAAGGCAATTCAATCTATGATTCATCTATGATCCCAGTATTATATGATAAAAAATATTTCGAAAAATTCAAATATTTATGACTTATATTTTTAACTACTTATAAGTAGTTAAAATATATTTTGTACATAAATACCGATTTGTTTTTTTTTACATGTGGAATATTTTTCAATGTTTTCTTTACTTGTTACGATTTGTATTAAAATATTTTTCAATGAAATGATTATTTTTAAGAAAAAGAAATACTTTGTTAATACTGATTTTAGATGGTGATTAAAAAATGTTACGTTACTGTATGGGATAACTTAGAACTTGATGGGTATAGTGTGTTGGCATAACTTGTCATAGTTCATAACAATAGTCAATATAAAGTATTAAGATATTTGGTAAAGAGATATGGGAATGGTGAATACTTAAAGTGGAAATGGTACAATGATGAAGAGGAATAATACCATTATAATCTATCTCATTCTATTTGCTAGTTTGATAGCTTACAAACAGTCTCATCAGATAAATAATTTATTTCCAGTGTTTAGAACGATCTATCTTAATTTAACCATAGTTGATTGATTGTTATATGATAGGGACATTAATTTAAACCTTGAAAGTCAACTTTATGCGTGTTTTTATTTCTAGTCCTTGATTTAAGTACAATACATTACTGACTTCGATAGTTTGAGTAAGTGTTTACCACTTCTAATAACCGTCTGCTCTGAAGTATCTTGTCAAACACCGTAAAAGTAAATTGACCAAAAGGTATGAAGCCTATGATAACGATATCAGTTTATGAATTTCAGATTTATTGATTTGAGTCTTATGAAGAGATTATAACTTTCAAGTTGGAATCCGCTACTTAATTGTAGTCCAATGTTGGAACCTAAGTAATGCTATAGATATATTCATTTCTTATATTCTTTTGATTCTATACATAGGTGTTCTACAGTATATCTCTTATACTCTAACTATACTCACTGCGTATATTTTTTTAACATTATTATTATTTATATTTTCATCCCTATGTATTTCATCTTCTGTTGTTTCTCTCATTAGGTTTATCTATAATAGGGCCATTCGAATTGACACACTTTTCTGTTAAGATCATTGTAATCGCTAACTGAATCTTTAACAGTAATAAACAAACGTACGAAGACTGACAGAGCTAAAACATACACCTTTAATCATTTATTTTGAAGGGTGAACTTATCAATTTAACAATAGAATAGTGAGATTCTTTCTGTCATATATTACAACATATTTTTCCGTATAGTCGAATGACTGATTAGCTGCATCAACATAGTATCTGTTTTAGATTAGCTAACATTGACCACAATATGTGAGTTTTGTAGTATTAAGATGTTAATGTACGCTTATGAAACATGGGAATAACTTGTAAATTTAGTAGTAGTAGTAGTAGTAGTAGTAGTAGTAGTAGTAGTAGTAGTAGTAGTAGTAGTAGTAGTAGTAGTAGTAGTAGTAGTAGTAGTAGTAGTAGACCTGAAGATCTGACCCACAAGGCAGTGGAGCATCGTAAGGAGATGCAGTCCCATGGTAGCCGGTGACCAACGATTGGTTAATACGTCATTTGTTCCTTCAGGATACCCATATGCACCAATGGTTTGGAATCCCGTTAAAACACCGAACATTCTCTTTTCGTCCTCTTAATTTCGTAGACATTACCCGCGTCACAAGAAGGCAATGAATAGGACTTCCCTGACAGAGGCTGTATATGCATGGCCATGTGAGAACATTTCGTGATGGAGGAAGGGAGGAACCTCCCCACTCTTGGTCATACCAGGGTATTTGGGGGGCAAAACACGAACTCACTAAGAAGAAACAATAACTGACACTGGTTAATTATATTTTAAGTAATATCTTATCTAAGCTTATCTACTACAAACCAGTAAGTATTCATCAAGTGATAACATTCATTTGATGAACTATATATATATATATATATATAATATTCAGTAAACAAAAGTTAATTAATGTAACCATTATTAGATTATTATATCAATAGCTTAATTAACAATGACTATTCTATTGGATTCATTGACCATAAATGATACAACTCATTAAGACCAACATTTAAAAGTTACCATGGTATACATGAACTATTTTATAATATAACAAAACAATCACAAATTGGAATAAAATAAAAACAAAAAAATAAGTCTCAGTAACAAATTACTTTTTAAGTAAATTAACCCCCTTAGTTACAATAAGTTTTAATGGATAGATTAAATTCATCTTTAAATAATCCAATTATTATCTAAACCATAGTTATAGTTATATAAAGTTCGGTAATTATCAAAAATAATTTCTACAAATTATTTGACTGCAAATCAATAATGAGGGAAGGAGGGGGCCCGGGATCGTGACTATGCACTGTTACTGAGGAGTCTCATACTAGGACGAAATGGCCGTTTAGTGCTTACAGGTTTTTCATGGTGGTCTAGCTTGCATCGACTCATGAAATCAACTATTGAAATTACTAAAATCTCCACAAAACACCTTCTGTTAATAATAGTCATCTGCTCACTAGTGACTAACTTCAAAAGATACTCCTGCAGTTCTAGTGAGAAGCCGTTACCTATGGAGTTCAGCCAGGTCTGTTGTGAGATATCAGCTCATTGAACACAATAGTGTACAATGGCGCAACTTCGTGGGTTGGTTGATGTTGGACATAAACACCGTTGCATCTCGGCCGGCTCAGTGGCTTACTTGGTTAAGCGTTCGCACGCGAGACCGATAGGTCCTGGGTCCGAATCTCGCCGGGGGTTGAGGTCGTGGATACGCACTGTTACTGAGGAGTTCCATACTAGGACGAAAAGGCCATCTAGTGTTTCCAGGTTTTACATGGTGGTCTAGCTTCAATTGAATCATGATTTCAATTATTGAGATCAAAGATTACTCAAATTAATTATCAAATAATATAGAACTCAATGTAATCCCTAATATTAGATTTATTAGTTAAAGCATCGATCACAAATTAGTGATACCAAGTGGTTGAATAGGGTTGAATGAAAATATTATGGTTTCTTGTTGACTATTTCTAAGCATTGATTATCAAAATATAGCGTTCAAAACATCATTTCATTTAGACTCGTGAGTACATTTCAAGTTAATCGATAGAAATAGTAGATTAGGTTACTACTAAATTATCAATCAATAGTATAATTCGGTGATTTGTTAATGTGTTCTAATAGAGTAAGGATTCGATCGATAAATTTTTGGAGATTGTAATGTTTTCACAGTTGAAATCAGGAGTCGGTTTAAGCTAAATTACCACTGAAAATCTAGAAGCACTGGATGTTTGTTTCGTAATAGGGTGGGATCTTTCAGCAGTACGCATCCACAATCCCGATTACAGTACTCAAACTCAGAACATTAGGTCACATGAGAACATCTAACTTCATATGCTCACTAGTGACTGGCTTCAAGACGTAATTCCTAGAGTTCTTATGATAAGCCGTAACTAGTGTTGTCCAATATGTGTCAGGTGTAAGACATTTACCTACCGAAGGATATGGATGATTGAAGTTAGACATTAATACCATTGGATGCCGACTGTGTTGTCTAGACATTAAGAACTTTCATTATAGTGTTCAATAATTGAAAAAAAGGTTTTCCATAGTTATGCTACATATAAAAATATTGAAAAGAAACAAAACATGAAACCTTTTCACAATATTCTAACTAGAATACGAATAAAGTTATGTACAGAGATTTTTTTCAATAGTTGAAATCATGAGTCAATTGAAGCTAGACCACCATGGAAAACCTGGAAGCACTGAACCTGGGCTCAAATCTTGTAAGGCGGGATCGTGAATGAGTACTGCAATGGGATGAAACTTCCTCTTGATGGTTAGGAACTGAATGGTACTGGGTTTGAGTGTCGGAGTCAA